TATACTAAACACAATTTTAAATTGCATGGGATACAAATGAATAAGGTGTAGTATTCATTTTTAAGGAACTTGAAATCTAGCAAGGGAGGAAAATGTAGACTTTTCCAAAGTACTTATTGCACTCTGTTGTAATTTCTCATTTCTCCTCTGTATCTCTCCCTAGACTGTAGGGTCCTTTCAGGCTGGCTTCCCATCTACCCTAGTGTTCAATACTGTCTCCCTGGGATCAAGGTCTCTGATTACATAATCGATAAACATTTACTGAAATGAGTGAGTAAATGAATAAAACTATAAAAATAGAATAACACTATATAATTAATTAAAGCAACAGGACAGGCTTGTGGCATGCTAGCTATACAAACAAATTCTCCAGGATTACAGAGATAGGAAGAGACCCAGCAAGGGAAGTATTCTGAGGAGAAAAGTTTGCAAGTAGGAAGTGTTTACAGGGTCTTTTCAGTGGAAAGCACTACATTTGAAAGGAATATGAGTCAGATCATTAGGGATTAATGAATGAATGGCAAGTGGATCAAACTGCTTGTTTTGAATTGAGGAATGACATAATAAATCTGTAAAGTAGAAACAACCTTTTCACACTTACTGAGATGTGAAGCGTCTCCTCCCATGTTCTCATTCTGATGCAGCCACTCTCAAAAACCACATTTTTCTATGTGTAAGACCTTTGAATCAGTTTGCTGTTATTTTCCAAAGCAATTGGAATTTATACAGGTCAGGGTTTGCTTTACACAGAGTTCTTACATCAGAAAAGTGTCCTGATGAACCTCTTCCTGGTTTAAATGATTTAAAATCATTCCTTTACATATTCACTCACTGTCCAGTTTGGATCCATTGACTCTTTTCTCCAAAAGCAGCAACTCAAGAACCAACCTCTTCTCATTCCTTTACCTGCACCATAATATCTTATTATCTCATAGATGGCAAGTGATCAGTCATCTTACCTGATAAAATAACACACAAAAGGCACAGACTACTTAGGTCAGTGGTCCTACCTTCCCTCCTTCCATGTAAGCTTCCCTGGCAGTCCCAAGCAGAGCACTGCTCAGTACACTGTTTAAAATTGGACCCCCTTGAAGGTATTTCTGCCCCATGCGAGGGAAACATGCAACTTAAGATAGTGTGATAAAGAATTTTAAAATAGAAAGTGAGATTTTCTCCTTTCTTCCACTTAAGCTCACCATTACCTTCCCCTTAGTCAGCAGGTTGACAGTGTCGATGTCATCACATCCATACAACATAAGCCTAGAAATGACACCATCTCAGGCCAAAAGTGGATGTTGGGCTTCAGAGATTTTTGCCTCTCTCCCACCTCTAGGTCCTTTTCTCCATACCTTTAGAACTAAATATATTCTGGTTGTAATTGGCTATTAGCAGGAGCTGACCTTATTCTTCCCCTGAGAAGGGGGAAGTGTGTTGAAACTAGAACTAGAATGAATGACAGGGGATGTGGTGAACAGAATGCGTACCCCACTCTCAGGCATCACACCCTCCCTGGGAGTCTTATGAATGTGGTGGTGGAAGCTTGGAGAGTCATCTGTGAGAGTAATCCTGAGAGAAGTTAAAATAGGGATGGAAAATTATGAAAGGTGCTGGTATTCTGAAGGGATTACAGAATTCAAAAATAGTCATTTAATTTTAAAATATATTTTTAGTTGTATTTAATCACTGTACATCTTTACAGCATACAAAATGGTTTCTCCCAGCACAAATGCAGTGCGTAATTAGTCAAGTCATAGATATTATCATGTACATTATCATAAATGGATAACTTTTCTTTTAGAGATTTTTGCTATAGGGCACGTGCGCTTGCCAGACAGAGAGAGACATAGAGACAGAAAACGAGAAATCACCCCCCAGGGGGGATGGTCACGCCGCAATCCCTTGTCCTCCATTCTCCTCTCAGGATCTTGGGCACGCACGCACACGCGCCCAGTGTGAGTTTTAAGCCACCGGGTCCGGGACCCGAACCGCGGTCGACTACGTGGGAGTCCAGCGACATAGCCATTACGCTAACTGCTGGTTCCCAGATAACTTTTCATTTTGTTTCTGTTAAATGCTTTTCCTGGGGCCGACAAGTGGCGTGCTGGTTGAGAGCACTGGACTTCACATGACTGACCACGGTTTGAGTCCTGGACCTGGTGGCTTGCTTTCTCACTTTCTTTCTCTCTCACTTTCTCTCGCTCTGTCCCTCTTAGGTCAAATAAAAAAAATCTAAAAAGGAAATAAATAAATAATGTTTTTCCTTCTAATCCCCTCCCTCTCCCTCTTACCCACCTTCTCCAGTACCATTTCTATTATCTGCAGTTACCCTCCTTGCTATTATATCTTCCAATCTTTTAATTTCTGCCATAGAGTGCAGACATTTGGTGTATATATATGTACAAATATATATATATATGTATATATATATGCATATATATATTTATTAAGTAGGGACATTCATTTAATTGTAAAGGTTTCCTTCTTTCTACTTAAAACGCATATATTTAAATAAATCTAAAGTATAACTTATTTCTAGGACAAATGGCAATCAGAAGAGGACAGGTAACCCGGTTTTATCTCTTCATTTATTTATTTATTTTTTTTTGGAGAGGCTTTTCACTATAGGGCACATGCACTAGCCAGACAGACAGAGAGAGACATAGAGACAGAAAGAGAGAAATCACCCCCTGGGGGGGATTGTCACACTGCAATCCCTTCTCCTCCATTCTCCTCTCGGGATCTTGGGCACGCATGCACACGCGCTCAGCGTGAGTTTTAAGCCACCGAGTCTGGGACGTGAACCACGGTCGACTACGTGGGAGTCCAGCGACATAGCCATTACGCTAACTGCTGGTTCCCTATCTCTTCATTTTTTAAAGTTTATGTATCTCTCCCATGGGCTAGAGAGACAAAGAGAGAGATACAGAGCCAGTACCCCTAACAGGGTTTGACACTGCAGTCCACATTCAGCTTTAGCCAGCCCCATATCATGGGCGCATGGATGCATGAGTACGTAAGACAGTCTCCAGACATGAATCTGGAACCTTGCTATATGGGATTGCTACACAGAGCATCTTGTTTTATCTCTGCACCACCATCTAGTCCATGGTTTTATCTTTTGTAAGAGAATGCAGTCTGAATATCAATTTTAGATTTCAAGTTTAACATGGAACATTATGATGTATATCCTTTTTTTGTTTTTGGAAATACCATGTATTAATTTACTAAGTGGGCAAGCCCGACATCATGAAGAAGTTAATTTTCAGATGGAAGTGTCAACAGCCCTCAGCTGAGTCAAGGATCTTGGTTGCTTGAGATGAAATACAACACTTAGGTTTCAATGACTCAGTGAGATGATACCTGACCTAGCTTTGCAAAATTAAAATGATTGTTTTTTTTATTTTTTACATTTTATAACATACTTTGTTTTTTAGACAAGGCATCACATATTGGTGATGATCTCATTTTAAAAATTATTTATCTCTTTATCAATGTTAATTCTTATATTTTTACATTTTAAGAGAGGATACAGAGTAATATAGTTGGACATAGTTTTCTTGAATTTGGATTTAAGGAATAAAAGCAAAAGTATTTATAAATGTGAATTTCAAATCATGTTTCAATGATAGCAGAATTATTTTCTGCATCTTAGCTGTAGGAAGTATCTAAACCTCATTATGCATAGTTTGAGTGTTTATTTTAAGGAAGAAAACCACCTTTGTAGAGAGCTGAGATAGATATATTTGGAAATTTTTGTGCAATATCCTGACAGTGGTATCAGGGTGAAGTATTATATGGAAAGAATAGGTTTTACATATCAGAATTAGCAACATTCAAACAAACTTAACAAATGAGTGTATGAATATAAATTTGGATAAGTTTTTGACATACTGTGCATGGGATGCCTTTATGGTCATATTCTTTATGAATTTTAGTCATGAACTCATCTTGTGAACACTCTAAATATGGACTTGTCTAGTTGCTTCCTACTTTCCATAGAGCTCAAAACATCTTGGTTCAAAAGAATTGTTCAAAGCCAGTATCTTTCAATCCCCCTGAGATTTTCCCATAGGCATAAATCTCCTACAAGACGTGATCTTTCCTTCATATAAATTCCTCATGCCTCCTAGTATAACACTGTTTACCTTAGTCCATTCTTTCTCACACCTGGTTAATTTTCACCCAGTTGAGCTACCCTTTCTGCTTGGAGAATATCTTTCTCTTTATCCAAATTGAGAACCACAAATCATAAAGTGGTGAGAATGAAAATGCTGATACTCCTTGAATGATCTAAAATGCAATTATGAATTTTAAACTGGAGCTGAACAAAATAAAAAGGCAAAGCAATCTTCACCATAGAAGGGTCTTTAGGTACTGAAAAAGCCCCTTTGAACTCTTTCATTAGGCTGTAATTCATCCCTGTACCATCATTTAAATAAATACAGAAAAGAGTCGGCACTTGAAAATAAAGTGATGTCTGATTCCATTTTATTCTTTTTTTTTTTTTTTTTTTTTTTTTTTTTTTTTTTTTTGCGGGGGGCGGGGAGAGGTTTTTGCTATGGGGCATGTGTGCTTGCCAGACAGACAGAGAGAGACAGAGAGACAGAAAGTGAGAAGTCACCCCCAGGGGAGATGGCCATGCCACAATCCCTTCTCCTCCATTCTCCTCTTGGGATCTTGGGCACGCACGCACACGCGCCTGGTGTGAGTTTTAAGTCACCAGGTCCGGGACACAAACCACAGTCGACTACATGGGAGTCCAGCGACATAGCCATTACGCTAACTGCTGGTCCCTGATTCTGTGTTATTCTTTTCCAATTACCAGTTTACCAAAATATTGTATTTTTGTTATTTTTATATTTCAGATGTTCTGCATTTCAACTTCAGCACAGTTTAAATTGATGCTTCTGGGCTAACCTGGAAACCTAAACACAATTTTTTTTTACTATATCTATACAAAATATGTCCAAATTCCAATTGACTGACTTATAAGGGGATCTTTAGAACACAACCCATGTAAGTTACAGGCATACTGTGTTTTTTTGGCCTTTGTTACCTCCCTCTCCCCATAGGATGGCCATCTATTTGTTAGTGTGTGTGTGCGGATTGTGTATACATTTGAGTCTATGCTTACGCTTTTTTACAATTAAGAGTTTATAGCATCATTCTTTTCTCCCTTCCTTCAATAGGTACTTGAATACCTGTTATGTAAAGTAGTTCTAGGCCTATAGGGTATCCAGAGGCTGCCTTCCTCTCCTCTCAGGAGGAGGTTGACATGAGCTGAGTAATTTCACAAGTACATATGAAATGCACACTGCGGTAGGTGCTATGCAAGGAGGTCACATAGAACTCTGCAAGGATATAAACAGGTCCTGTCTTGTCTCTAGGGTCACAATGAATTCCTGGGCAGGGTGATGTTCCAATTAAAATTTCATGGACAAGAAGGGTTAAAAGGGAATGAGAGGTGAAGAAAGTGGATGCAAGGATGGAGTATAAAGTGCTCCAAAGAGAACACATTTTCAGACTGTGTTTGCTCAGTTAGGTTATTTTGATAACTTTTTCCAGGAGTGATAGCTCTGAGTAGGTGGGAGACTTTTAGCTGAAACTACCATTAAAAGTTCATTGTAATCATACCTCAGAATAAGTTATATGTAATTTTACAAGCTCTCGTACTTTTTTTGTTTTTTAGGTATGACGTACTCCTTAAGTCCTGACAATCACCTTGAAGATGGAATTATGAATATGGCAAATTTTCTACGGGGTTTTGAAGAAAAGGGGATAAAGAACGACAGGCCTGAGGACCAGTTGAGTAAAGAGAAAAAGAAAATACTGTTCTCCTTTTGTGAGGTGTGCAACATCCAGCTGAACTCGGCAGCCCAGGCTCAAGTCCATTACAATGGCAAGTCCCATCGCAAACGAGTAAAGCAGCTGAGTGATGGACAGCCCCTGCCGCCAGCTCAGGGCTTGGGGCCACTTCTGGCCAGCCCCAGCACCAACACCAGCGCAGGTAGGAAGAGGGCTTGGGGATTTGTTTACTTCTGAAAGAAATGGTGCTGTTCTAGAAAATGAAAGATTTAGAGCAAGACATTACTCACCTTAAAACTATTTCCATTAAAATATGCAGTCTTGTCCCTACAGGTAAAACCCAGGGGCTGTGTGTCACTGCTCAGTATAGTTTTATACACACACACGCAATTTGTACATTGTATAATGGACCATAGACTTCCTGTATTACAGTGTGTGAGCATGTTCTAATGTATTTTGAAATGTGTTTAAAATGGATCAGTGGTGTCAATTTTTCCCCTCTCTGCAAAACTAGGCTTTCTTGGGTTTCCTTTATCTGCCTTCTATCAGGTGGTGCACTACTTCATAGAATATAAAAAGCTACGCTTTATTTATAACATCCCATGGTGCAGTGAAGGAGCATTAATCTTGCGTGTGTTAGACTTGTCATATTCTTTTAGGGAGCTGCCAGTAGTATGCCGGTGGTAGTCTAACAATAGGAGTAAGCATTGCCAAAACCAAAAAATCCCTTTGAGCCCTGACACCTTCATCACTTACACTTGCTTCTCACCTTTTCCTTGTGGGCTGTGTAGAGGCAGAAGCTCAGGAATTTTTACATTCCTGCATCTGCCCACTGAGTTCTAAACAATATTTCAAATTCTTTATCTTATCCTCATCAGCCCTTCCTCCTCTTCATTGCTGTCATTGGATGGTTTTGCTGTGTCAGAACTGAAGAAAAATGTGAAATTTGCTGTTATCTATGGTGAAGTATTGGAGGTTTAAGGTGGGAGGCCAAGATAAGCCTCCACCTTAATGTGGTAAAAGAGCTCGAAATTCTACTCTAGTAAGTGTTTATTTTGTAATGAGGCTTCAGCTTGAAGAGAGATGATGCAAGAAGCCATTTGTTGGAATTTCACTCTGTGCTGTTACATTTCTTGATTTTGTGAAGTTACTTCATGATCTATATAAAGCTCCAACAAAAACATCGTGTATATGTGTGTGTGTACATGCTATAAATAAATAATTTTTGTATTTGAAGCTAAACTAAATTACTTTTTACACAGAATATGGTTTAATTTTATTAAACTGTTTTCTCCAGTAAATATTTAACATATTATGAAAGAAAGTAAAGGCACTTACAGGATATAAGATACACACATAATAGTGAAATTTTACTTTACTATTTTCTGTTTAATATTAGTTATAATTATTCACATATCTACTAATGTACCTTATTTATGTATTAAAAATACAGAGTTAGAACAGAAACTGATCTCTAAGTCAGAAAGTAAATAATAACCTGAGTAAAGTGTTGAATTACATCTGTTAGAATCTAAAGGTCTGTAGATAACTATAGTAATTAAAAATTATTAGATCACTGGGGACCAGCAGTTGGCATAATGGCTGGACTGTCATGTAGTTGACTGCGGTTTGCATCCTGGACCCAGTGGCTTAAAACTCATGCCGGGCGCATGTGCGTGCATGCCCAAGATCCCAAGAGGGAAATGGAGGAGAAGGGATTGTGGTGTGACCATTCCCTCTTGGGGGTGATTTTCTTGCTTTCTGTCTCTCTGTCTCTCTCTGTCTGTCTGGCGAGTGCACGCGCCCTATAGCAAAAACCTCTCTCAAAAAAAAAAAAAAAGAATTATTAGGTCATCAGGAAAGGCACGACCAATATATTTCTGAAGAATATCTAATGACGGGGGAATTTTCCAAGATGTAATACTAAGCAAGACAACAGGAACTAAAGTGGAACATACCTCAGTGATAAACATGTTCATATGCATATTATCCTCTGTTTAGAGTCTCAACCCAATGAGGAAGAAATACATTATTTTATTTTTTTTTTCCAATCACGTTGCTCAGTTTTGATCTAACAAACTTCTGTTTCCTTCTGGCTAGCAGCTCCCTTAACACCCTCTCAGCCCATAACTTCTCACTTCTGTATATTCAGAAAGACTCGTTGACTTAGAAGATTCAGTTCTATTTATAAAAACATCCCTGTTATTGTTGGAATAATAAGATTTGGTACACAGACCCTAAAGCCTGGAAGAGAGGTCTGTACGCAATAGATCTCATCCTGCCCCTTCCTTGACCTCCCTTCAGCCCAGGTCATGGGGAATGGAGGAGGGGTAGAGAGGTGGAGTTTATACCTTATAGTCTTGGCGAGGTTACAGAGCTTTTTGATTGATGATTGCTATTCTAGCTGTTTCTGTGTGTTGCAAGTGTTCCTAACAGATCCTGTGTATCGAGGCTTCCCTCAAGTTTTCTCCTCAAGCATTAGGAGTCCCTTGTAAGATATCTGCATTTTCCGGCTTACCTGAGGCTGATAGCAAAAGGCTCCATTCCTCAACTGTATGAGTGTCTTTCTCCCACAGTGTGGTATTCCTGGCTGGATTGTGTCCTCTATTCTCATACATACCAACTCTTGGGGCTTTAGGATACATGTAGAATCCATCTGAATACTAACATCCTTCTTGAAAACCTGGAACTGCTGGGCATAGGCAGGTATAGGTAGAATAATAGGGTATGGGGCTTTTCGTTCATTCTCAGGAAATGCTTTCCACTGACAAATCAGGCACCTCATCAAAAGATCCAGTCCTTTTTTGGACCTTTGCTTGGCTTTAGGAAACATTATGGGTTGAATTTTGTCCCCTCCAGGAAAAAAAAATTAAAAAAGATATTGTACAGTTCTAACTCCCAGTAACTCAGAATGCGACCTTATTTGGAGATAGTGACTTTGCAGAGATGGTTAAGTTAAAATGAAGTAATTCATAGGCTTTAATCGGATATGACTTGTATCCTTATAAAAAGGGAAAATCTGGGGACCAGCAGTTAGCATAATGGCCATGTCGCTGGACTCCCATGTAGTCGACTGTAGTTTGAGTCCTGGACCCAATGGCTAAAACTCACATTGGGCATGTGTGCGTGCATGCCCAAGATCCTGAGAGGAGAATGGAGAAGGGATTGTGGCGTGGACATCCCCCCGGGGGGTGATTTCTCGCTTTCTATCATATTGATTTCTGAGTTCTAACATCTAGAACTGTGAGATGATGAATTTATGTTATTCGTAACACCTAGTCTGTGTAATTTGTTACTCTAGCCCAAGCTTACTAATACAGGGGGAGAAATTGTAGCCTGTCTCTTTCTCAAGAGGAAAGATTGGTAGTAAATACAGTTTCTAAGAACTGCTAATTTAAACTATAACATGTCTATGGTGTTGGGGTTGGCTGGAGTGGGAGTGGAGTCCACAGGGTGGTAATTTCACAGAAAAATTCAAGCATTTAAAGAAAAATTAACACCATTTTACACAATCTCTTTCAGAAAATAGAACAGGAAGGAACACTTACCCATTTATTTTAAAAGACCAATATTACCCTGATACCAAAAACAAAGATAATAAGACAAATAAAACTACAGACTAATACTGCTCCTAAATTGTGCCTCAAAATTCTCAACAAAATATCATCAAACCTGGTGCAAGCTATAGAGTACTGCTACATAAGGCTTGAGTCATGTGGGAGGCCCAGGTTTGGTTCCTAAACCAACCTAAATAATATAATATTCAACCTAGGTTGAATATTATAAGCACACACCAGTAATCCCAGTTTACTGGGAGGACAGGGCAAGGAAATTGCAACATGGTGAGTCTCCCTTTCTCTCTCTCTCCTCTCTTTCTTATAAAAATAAAGATAATAGGGACCAGCACATGTGTAATGGTTATTTCACTGGACTCCCACGTAGTCGACTGTAGTTTGAGTCCTGGACCCAGTGACTTTAAACTTAGGCTGGATGCTTGTGTGTGCGTGTGCCCAAATCCCAAGAGAATGGAGGAGAAGGGATTATCCATCCCCGTGGAATTGATTTCTCACTTTCTTTTTCTCTGTCTCTCTCTGTCTCTCTGGCTCATGCACAGGCCTTATAGCAAAAATCTCTCTGAGAAAAAGAGATAATAATAATAATAAACAAACCGAATTCAGCTAGTATAAAATGAATTATGACCATGGGTATTTATTCCAGGTATGCCAGGCTGGTCCAGAATTTACAAATTGAAAAATATAATCCACCACATCAACAAACTAAAGAAGGAAAATCATATGATCTTATCAGTTGAGGCAATAAAGCATTTGAGAAAAACTAGCACTCATATTTATGAAAAAACTCTCAACAAATTAGGAATAGAAGAAAATTTATCTCAATTTAATAAAAAGAGTGTAAAAATGCCTACAGCTTACATCATACTTAATAGTAGGTGACTGAGCGTTTATCCCCTAAGATCAAAAACAAGGTAAGGATGTTTACTCTTATCTTTTATTTAACATAATACTGGAAGTCTAGTCACTATAATTGGGCATAGGCAGGTATAGGTAGAATAATAGGGTATGGGGCTTTTCGTTCATTCTCAGGAAATGCTTTCCACTGACAAATCAGGCACCTCATCAAAAGATCCAGTCCTTTTTTGGACCTTTGCTTGGCTTTAGGAAACATTATGGGTTGAATTTTGTCCCCTCCAGGAAAAAAAAATTAAAAAAGATATTGTACAGTTCTAACTCCCAGTAACTCAGAATGCGACCTTATTTGGAGATAGTGACTTTGCAGAGATGGTTAAGTTAAAATGAAGTAATTCATAGGCTTTAATCGGATATGACTTGTATCCTTATAAAAAGGGAAAATCTGGGGACCAGCAGTTAGCATAATGGCCATGTCGCTGGACTCCCATGTAGTCGACTGTAGTTTGAGTCCTGGACCCAATGGCTAAAACTCACATTGGGCATGTGTGCGTGCATGCCCAAGATCCTGAGAGGAGAATGGAGAAGGGATTGTGGCGTGGACATCCCCCCGGGGGGTGATTTCTCGCTTTCTATCATATTGATTTCTGAGTTCTAACATCTAGAACTGTGAGATGATGAATTTATGTTATTCGTAACACCTAGTCTGTGTAATTTGTTACTCTAGCCCAAGCTTACTAATACAGGGGGAGAAATTGTAGCCTGTCTCTTTCTC